CGTAAATAAATATACATAACACATATCAAACAAAAAGTATTATATTAAATTTTTTTAAAAAACCCCATGTTTTTAGTTTAATCACAATAAAATATGAACATCGATATACACGGCTTTTATGTTGTACCATTTTTGAAAGAATTTCAATCAAGGAAAAACTTTCAATTTATAAGAATGTAAGTAAAACCTCTTAAAATTTAATAGTGGAAAGATATTTTATAGTTGAATCTGCTGTCGCAAAATTGAATCTGTTTAAGTGTGAATAAACCGTTGCATATTGCAGGTATGCATATCGAGACTATAGAGTAGTGCAAGGTTGAGCTGTTTCGTACGTGACCTAGGAAACAGATACTCGTCTGGGCACATTCTGTACGTGACCGAAGATACCCAGACGAGACTAACACCCATTTGAAATGGTAGTAAGAAAATTCGACTATTGAGTAAATTGCATCTTTACGAGTTATCTGTTAAATATGATGTTTCGATTTATTTTGTCAAAATATTCTGGATAATTTTTGTTCATAAACCAAAAAGATTATTTTTATTTAGTAAAAAAACAAAACAGAATAAAGTAATACATATTTTAAAGTTTTATAGACAGTGAAATATATTTTCTTATATTTTCAACAGTAATATTTCACTTTTTGTATCAGATTATATAAGAGAAAAAGCATTTATCGCCCGTATAAACAACTCTTATTTATATGTTGGTAGTCATAAAACAAACTGCTTCTTTGCAACTAGATCACATAATATCGGAGTCGAATTTCATCCAAATATTTTAAGCTTTGAGTTATTCTTTTCTTTCATAAATATATATTTTTGTTTGTCACTAACATGATGGCTAAATCATTCTGGGCGGTCATCCAGTTGTCAACTGGCATCTACTCATTCTTCCATAAGAATAAATCCAGTTTTATCACGATATATCTTACTTGGAAATATCTTATAAACAAAACGAAAAATGTATTGGGATCTTTTTCGATGCAGATGAAAAAGCATGTGATAAACGATTCTCGAATCAAAAATTGTTGCATTTTTGCACGTATCCAATTCAAGAAACTTGTCATTGAAGCACTTACAGAAAAAATGGTGTTATATTTTCTAGCAAATGTATCGATTTTTATCAGATTTTTATCTACGATAATAAAATTATGTAATATTATAGTATATTATCTGGTTCTAATATTAATTAACTTGTAACTTATTTGTTGCTCTTTAATCTTGCGTATTATGCGCCTGCTTTATTTATATATTGGTTTTGCTGTATTATTTATGTGTTTGTTGTTTATCGGATACACTGCAGTGTCTGAGTGTTGTGCTGTATAGACGCAAGGTTGTGAATATATTGTGTATTATAGTATACATATTACATTTATTGTTATATATTTTTAATGATGTACACACAACAACAATATGTTTATACTATATTTTTGTTTCGTGCTATTTTATCTTTACTTCACATGCTTTTATGTATATTGTGAATCATCTCATTTATGTGCATATTGCTTCATTTGCTTTCGAATATTTTAATTTTATATTTATTTACTTATTTTATTTTTGCCGAATAGACTGACATATGCAAGAACAATTAATTCATAAAATTTTAGTTATTGACTGATTATTTGAAATTTTAAAGTTATAATCGAATTTAATTTTTATTCTAAGTAAAATCTCCTGAGAATATAAATAACTATTTTTTCTAAGATTACACTAATTAATATCTATAATAAGCTACTCTATAATTAAAAATACTTTTTTACCTAATCAAATAAGCTATTTTTAAAATTAAATATGCAGTTTAGTCAAAGATCTTTGTATTAATTTGTCTAAAGATTAGAACTCGTATTAAATTACTTTAATCTATTATTTCTGATATTTACATAATTGTATGTAAACAGAATGGATTAATATTTCACTGTTTGTTCTTAATAACAGAATGGTTAATATTTCACTGTTTGTTCCTAATAACAGAATAATTAATATTTCAGCCTTTTTACAAAATGGCTAACGTTTGTGTCTTACAAGCAGAATAACAAACATTTGTTCTTTAATAGAAGTTATGTAAGCTATGTATTTCACCATTTATTTCTGTTCAAGATGGCTGCTGAGAGATTATTTTTAGTTGTAACCGAGCCGAACGTGGGAAAAATTTTGTTAAACGTTTGTTTCGCACGATTTACCAGAAGCCGATTTCCATTCGCTTTTAACGTAACATTTTAGGGCGTTACGCTACTGTTATTGTATAGACATCGTGATTTGGCGTCACGTTTAGATCGGCCCCGCCTCGGTTGCTATTGCACCTGGTTCGTCCCGATTTCTTTCACCTCGATACGATTTTCTCTACGCTTTTGTATTCTTACGAACTTGCGATTCTGACATTAACACGTATAATTAACACAAATTATGAGGTTCCGTGAACGGAAGAGAAACGCAAATCGAATACAAAATGGCCATTTTGTGGCATTGTATATTGGTTACGCACCAAATTAGCAATTGTTATTTATGCTTCAATTAAAGCTGAGTAGTCTGCGCGCTATTCAACATCTGCAACAACATGACGTGATTTAAATTAACCAATACATTTGTTTCAAACTTGTTGTTTTGAAGAAAGGTTGTACAGATCGAATACTAAGAAAAAAATTTATTGGATTATATATATTCGAAATTATGCTTAAGAGACTTAAAAGTAACCTTTGAATCAATGTAAATTATGCTCCAGGTTTTAAAAAAGTAAAAATAACATATTTTCTTATAAAATATTATGTATGTTTATATTTTAACGTTTTTCATAAATTTTATGGTCTTCAATCTTAATTATATGAGTTTTAATTATTAATTCTCAATTAAATTAACGTAAATTGCTAGTTTATGGGTTATTTAATTATGTTATAATACTTAAACAATTTTCTTTAACCGTAATGTTTTGATGTCTACAAACTGCCCACACAAATTCGTTTTAAATATTTTATTTTTATACTATCAAACCGCAGCGAAGATGGAATAATTCAATAGTAAGCTATGATTTTTGAATTTTAGTTATACTTTAAAATTCCAAATTTTAGTTAACCGAATAATTTTTCTCCCCCTTTCTAAACTTTATTTTGCATAAATAAATTTTAAAAAAGCGATTCTACCAATTTTATGAGTCAGACTTTATTTGTAGATCGAATTTTTATGTTGTAATAAATTTATTATTAGACTGGAGTCGATGAAATTTTAACGAGTTAAAGGATATTCGGGAAAGGAAAAAAAGGGAAAAATGTAAGGAGTGTTTTCTCGATCGAATACTTTTTCTAGAAATGATCGAATCTTAAAATAAAGCCAGTGTCACGCTGGCGTCGGTATCAATAAAAATGGGCAGTTTATTTATCTATCGGATCATAAGTGCAGTAAAAGAAGACGAGCAGAATGGCGAATGTGTCATCGTTCCCTCGTAAATCTAACGGTTGATCGGAAATGCTTCGTAATTGGTCTGCGGAATCACATGACCACAACAATACTGTTATAAAATGACGTAAAATAACGGCGCTCTGGTAATTTATCGGAAGATTAGATAAAAGACCGTTTAATTCGAATATGGGACACAAAATTACTAAAAATTACATCACCCACTCGCTTGTTTCTCTTCCTATCGCTCGTTTCACCTTTAATCCGCTTATCCGTGTCACGACATACGTTAACGGGAATCCTATTTACCGTATCTACTCGTCCATCGCTGACATTATAAAAATAATACCGTAGCTTTTCTTTATTGCATTTTCTAAACCACTCAATTATCCGGTTCTTGGCTCGGAGGACACCAGATAGGCTGACTCGTCCATTGCCCACGTTCGCTATGACTGAGTCGTATTCTACGACATTTATGATTTAACTTGTGTGAAACAATCTCAAAAATATATGTAATAATGTTTAAAATATGGTGTTAACTAATCTCGTAATGTTACGTTTTGAAGTGTAACGAGCGATGACAGAATTAGGTCATTGCCAAAGAGCCACACGGGGATTAAGATGACCTAGTAAACAAGCGATAGTTTAATTAAAACTTACTTCTACTTCCTTCCTGAGGAAATTAAGAAAATTAATCAAAGTTTCCGATAGAGAATAAGTAAATACGTTTGCGTAATTAACGACAGAATGCCAAAACGTGTCGCATAATGGATAACATAAAGGAAAAAAAAAATACTGATCCGGGTTCATTTTTAATAAAAGGTGTCGGGTAGAGAGAGAAGGTCGAGAAGTTTAACCTTCGCCTTACAGAAGAGAAAATGAAATTTTTTGATATTAATGACACACTCCCTCGGCTTCACGTATTTGCATTTGTTATTGCTGGAGTTTATCTCGAATGACACTCCCGCATATTAAAATTAAACAGGGGAATAATCACGGCACAAATCTCATAAATCGTCTTTCTGAATGTGTTCTCTCGAATTTATTTCGTTAATGATAAAATTACAATATGGAGTGTTTTCTCTCTTCGTCCGTCCATAACTTATTGTTGGCAGTCGATACACAAGAGGTTCCTATAAATATATATATAAGAGCGGCTCCAAATATTAATGTTTTCTATCTTATGTGTTATTTTTTTTGTAGCCAAGCATACGGCTCATTTTTTTTAACACATTCATTTTTATTCTAAAAGTGCCGTTCTTTTATAATCTTAAATTCAAATAGTAATGTATGGAATCCATTCAGAGATTTTTTGTTTGTTTTTTTTTATGGTGCTTTTGCATAATCAGACTTACAAGACAACTTGTAGAATAGATGAAGCTACGGTTTTGCAAATAAATTAAATTCACGAGAGAAAAAGTGTGGAATTAATTTTAAAAAAAGAATTTCTTCTCTCTGTTAAAGTATCGAACGTTGGTAGTTTCAATCTGTTTCCGCACACTACCTTCTAATTGGACTTGTGTTGTTACTATATTCGATCCAAGCTAGAACTAAGTTTTTACAGAATCCTCGAACTAATGGTTTTCTCCTTTTCTTCCTTGTTTTCCCAGGTGTTCGGGATTGAACGAGTGCACGTACAATTTCGTCGAAGATATGAAAGATAGAAAATGCAAAGCTCAAGGGGCAATGGTTATACTTTATGATTGCGTCAGAGGTAAGTGCTTTTCTGGTTTGTTTGTGTTGTCAAACAAAATTGCTCTAGTCGTTGTCAAAAAGGAAAGGAATTCTTATGCTCCAGTCCTTGACATAAAGGAACTCGATGATTGGATGGCATCGTTCGATTGTAACTGTGGGCTAAGGAGAACGCGGAACCCAGTTAAGGTCATATTCATCGTTTCATATCCGTTCGATGCACGTGCAAGGACACAGTCCAATCAAACTACTATGTTACTCTCAGTCACATCGCTTAAATTTGGCGTGTTAGACCTAAATATAAATTTGTATTTATTCTTAACATTAACAACCAGATTTTTGTGGTCATAAAACTTCAAATTAGTTCATTTTACAAAACGGAACTGTAAACAGGTTCACCACAGAGATATACAATGAATTGAAAATCTCATATTTCGATGGCACAGTCCTTCTTTTTATGTTGGTTGCCATTGTTTGGTCCCTTTTAGGTTATGCGGTGGATGGGGGTAAGTTCCAGCTCTATTGTATTGTACGATGTGTCACTTTGCCAATACTTTCATTTCCTCCTCTCGAGAGGCGCTTTGACAGCTGTCTTTAAGAGTACACTTGTCCTTTTTTCCAATACAACGGATTGAAGTTTGTTCTTTTGTAATAAAAAATACTTTTTTTTATTTATAAATTCGTGGAACATTAATTTTTTTGTGTAGGCCGAAGGGAGATATTGTCATTGGTAGCAGTGCAAAATGAACGTTTTACATCTTTATCAGCATTTATCGCACAAGTAAAGACATTTAATATGATCACATGTTGTCCTCAAAATTTGGTAATTTATGATACTGTAGTAATTATATTAATTTTATTTTCTTTAATTTCCATTAAAAATACATCTAATTTTATATAAATACAAATTAATGAGGAATAAATTACATATAAATTTTTACATAGTTTCAATTACATCATTACAGTAGGCCTAATTGAGTAATGATGTCCAAAAATAGACATGCCAAAAATAGTAAATGTCTGGATTGATTTATGTTGATTTAATGTATTGAATGGTTGTTCTCTTTATTCAATTTAAGTTAAACCACATTAGTTTAAAGAGTCATTCATGAGATATTTTTCTATTCAATTTTGAATGCAGATACTTGGAATATCTTATTAGGTCATAATTAAATATTTGTTGAGGCGTAATTAAAAATTTTATTCTTTCTACTTGCAAAAATTAATTAAAAAAATGTGGTTTGTTCTTTTTATATTGGAGATACTTTAAGATGTATATATAATAAGAAATAATATATAATAAGAAGAATAATATAAGTAAGTAAATAAATAAATTATATATAGTATATAGCATATATATATATTATAAAAATATAAAAATAAGTAATTTATAAAAGTTATGAATAAGATATGAATAAAGAAAAAATAAATCTGTATAATTTATTTTTTCTTTATTCATAACTTATAAATTACTTATTTTTTTAAAATAGCATTTTATAAATCGATTTTAATGAAAGTTTGCTTCTTAAATGCTATTTAGGTTAAGAGAAAAAAACTAATTTTTTAATTATATATTTTTAATAAATAAAGTTTCAATACTAAAACGAGTTGAAAAGACATTTAAAAATATATTTCTTAATATTTAAAGAAGGTTATTACTCTTTTCAAACAAACATAATTTCAGTAATCTAATTTTAAGAAAAATTATTCTATTATTTAATTGAATAATAACTTCCAATTAAGTAATAAAGTTACTAAAGAATTTTTTTGCTATATTTTTCATATTAAGTAATTGATTGCCATTACATAATTTAAAGGAAAACAAATTTATATGAAATGATTAGAATTCGATTAAGTTATTAAATTACGTTTTTAATCAGTTCTAAAAAAACCTTAAACAAATGAAAAATGTTTCGTTTTATTTCAAACTTCTACAAAATTGTTTAGGAATATAGTTGTAAAAAAGTATACAATTTTTGCAGATTTCTTCACATTTTATTTTATTATTTCGGTTCGTTATCTAAACCTTTATCTTAATTTATTCAGTTTGGATGATCCAAATCTTGTCCGGAACGTAAATTTATTTTATACGTAAATAATCGAACTTTCTCATTAATAAGAATATATTCATTATTATTTAGAGACTGCTTTATACGCATCCATAATCGTATGCCTTTAATTAAACTCAATACTGAAGACGAATAGTTACACTATAGTCGCATCATTTAATAATTTATGAAAACACAAATAATCTATATTAAATTACAATATAGCTTAAATTTTTCTAAGTAATTACGAACTTTTTAAAGCTATTTGATAAGATATAAACGCAAAAAAAAATCGTGAAAAGTATTTCGAGATATTTTTTTTTCAGAATCGTGGTTACACAGGTATTGCAACACGCATATAACGGCCACCGAGGGATACATCATGTCTCCCGGTTATCCCTTATATTACCCTCAGTTGTCCGCCTGCAATTGGAATGTAGAAGGTGGAGAGGGACAAACTGTATTAGTTTCGGTTCTCCACTTATCCATGTCGTTGCCCAGTCAATACTACGGGCGTTATGTCTGTCACGATTCTTCTATTTCGATAATGGAAGGAAGCAACAAACTGTTTACTGGATGCGGAGAATCTCTTGAAACGTTGAAGGCTATCGAATCCGAAACGAACGAGATTTCCATGCAGCTATTTTCGTCTTCGTTTACTCCCGCTAGTGGATTTTTGTTTTACTTCAAATGTAAGTTTATTGATTTTTTTTTTTTTTAATGAGCACCCATAACGTATAAACTTTGCCTTATTTTACAGTACAAGGATGTGCTACTTTACCTGCCCCACTTAACGGTCACTTGGTATATCGAAACGGAAGTGTGGCTATCTATAATTGTTGTAGGGGTTATCTCTTCAATGATACATTAGAGTCCAGTCGTACTCTGCAATGCACAGAACAAAATCGTTGGAACAGTAGCCTGCCAGCTTGTCTGTGTAAGAACATTTTAAAAATTTTATTTTATTTATTAAAGTATTTTAAGAAATATATAATTTAAAATTGGAATATTTTTGAAAATTATAGCTTTAGAAGAATTGGGAGAAACTCATAATCTTACAGATTTTTCAGAAAATCTTTTACTGCCTACAAATACAACAGAGAATGAAGCTTTGGTGGAACCAGTAGTATCTAGTGATACATTTCTAGAAGGTAATTACTTATATCATTCATTATAATGATATAATCATAATCTATATATGTAATTATATATATTTATTTGAGATTCTTGCTAGTGATATAGACCTAATATATCCTTCTAACAGAAACTAAATTTTCTAATCTGTTTAATGGAATCATGAGAACATTATTCGTAAAAGGATTAACTCACTATTTGTAAATTTATTAAATTTAATATTCTGTTTACAATATACTAAGTGCCTGTGACTAATGCTAATCTTTTATTTTGAATTATTAAGAGGGTAACAAGCTAGTATCAGTATAAAATTATAAACTTTTCCTAAATAAAAATAAATTTTCTTTCTATAAAAATTTGCAGAATTGTAAAATTTTGCTTACTTTTACAGTACAAAAATCCAGTTTTAAAAGATACTGCAAAACTGGATGTGATTACAATAAAAGTGCTTTTAATCCATAATCCTTTAATATCTGTAATCCAGTTAAGAGAAACCAAGTTATTATAAAAATAAATGTTCTTATAATAAATTGTCCAGTTTTGCAGTATCTTTTAATCCATTTTTAACTAGAAAATGTGTGCNGGATGTGATTACAATAAAAGTGCTTTTAATCCATAATCCTTTAATATCTGTAATCCAGTTAAGAGAAACCAAGTTATTATAAAAATAAATGTTCTTATAATAAATTGTCCAGTTTTGCAGTATCTTTTAATCCATTTTTAACTAGAAAATGTGTGCTAAGTTTGTGTGGAATGTGATCTTTTTATTTATTTAAAAATTTTTACACAATTTATTTTGGAACGGTTTTTTAATTATGGAAATACAAAGCAGTTTTTCTTATAATGCATAGTGTCCATAGCTTTGGGTATCTTTGTCAAAATGTGTAAATTTATTACTAACAGTATTTTACAATTTTAAATCATTATTCTACAGTAGAATATATTTTAATTTGAGAAGTCAGTTCTTAAAAGGAATACCTGAAAATTATCTTTCTCTTGGTTACTAATATCAATTGATTTTCATTAAAACTATATATCATTTGTTCACTGTCTAAAACAACGGTTCCCAACCTTTTTCGGGTGGCAACCCCTTTTTATAAAAGCCAAGTGACCCGCGACCCCGATACTATAGAAAATGGCATATTTGGTAATTTATGATACTGTAGTAATTATATTAATTTNAATACCTGAAAATTATCTTTCTCTTGGTTACTAATATCAATTGATTTTCATTAAAACTATATATCATTTGTTCACTGTCTAAAAAGTCTAATGCAGCTGATTCCTTTAATAACTAAAATTTAAATCAAACTGCAGCTTATTTCAGATAACCAAGAGTTAATTAATTAAACATAAGAAATTTTTTGGTCAAATATCTACCTTTAGCTTAAGACATTTAACAGTTAAGAGTGAATACAACTAAGCAACTCCATGTAAACGTGATGCCAAGTTTTGTAAACTTTTATGGCTGAAAACTAATTGCTTTGTGTTCATTTGATAATTTTAATTGTTATTCTCTATGCTTCATGGTTTTATAAAATTATATTTCACTATTAAGTGTAATCTATTAAAGAATAACAACAAAATGACAAAGTTAGTTTCCAAGAGGTTTGGAGGTTACACAAACAATTTACCAAAAATATGAAAAGAAAGTTTAATTAATTTTGTGAAAATAGAAATGCAGCATTAGCTTCTTTGTACATAACATTTCTATTTATTTATATATCTTAATTACTAGAAGATAAGAAAAGTAAGAATTTCTTTACATTATTTTCACAATAACAAAAAATAATGAAACTAAGTAAATGAAAACAAAGTGCAGTAAATGAAAACAAAAACAAAGTATTAATTTTACAAATTAATAAAATAACCTAACAATATATAGGTTTTTAATCACATTTTCATATTTTTTGGAATGTTTGCCATAGTTTACAAATTAATGTTTTAGATACAATATCTTTTGTAAAGAGTAATATTGGTTGGTTAATACAGTCTAAAACAATACAACACACAAGGGCTATTTCCAAATTCACAAATATTTAAATTAATAAAATATTTTTCCAACATAAAGAATTTTTTTATTATATTTATTCATTCTTATTTTTCTTAGTATTTGTCCTGTTTAGGAAGATCTACATATCACATCTGATTTCTCCATTTTGTTCTGTTTAGAGTATTAACTCTTCTGTAATATGATTTTAATAACAATAAAAATTAAGACAATTAAAATTTATTGTTATTAATTTGTAATTATATATTTTCAGTTAGGATAACAAATAAAGCCAAAATGATTCAAAAATCAAAATATATCAATATAAATTTTAACCATTGATAAGTCAATTTTATTTCTTCTATGTGCTAGTTGCATAAAATATGAGATACCAATCTATATTTTCTAATTAATTACATTATTTTTCTATAATAAACTAAAGTATATAATTTACAAAAAGTTAAATTTTTTATTTCTGTTACTATGTAAATGGAAAATTCAGTTGTCAATTATTATAATACTGTTTTCTAATGTTACTTTAGGTTAAAAAATAATTATGCATTTATAAGTATTATTTACTTTGTTTAAGATTAATCTATGTTTGGAACAAACTAAACCTTAAAATATAATAATAAGAGATTTTGTTACTATGAATTATTATTTAAAAAATTCAATATAACACAATACCAGTTGTATATGAAATCTTACAGAAATTTAAAATTATATTGATATTTACATCTTACATGAATAATATATATTTTTTAATTTTATATAATTAATTGTATGGATTTAATAAGAACTGAAAGATGCCATTTTATTGCATCTTTAAGTTGTAAGCAAAAAAAGAAAAAAATTACTTTTTCATTTGGTAAATGAATTATATTAAAGATTTTAACATGAATTATATGTAATATTTATATAATTTTTTAAAATATGAAATGTTATGAATAATTTTATGTTGCTATCATGCATTTAACTTATATATACAAGGCCATTGGATGGAGGGAAAGATGCTTCAGCCCCATAATAGAAAGTGATGGTCCACTGCCATGATCTACTAGTTTCTTTACAAAGATTTCACTTTCAATGATCACCTATTATTTCAAAAATTTTCTAATTTCTAAATCTCTCTGGGTAGAAATGTGTTGCAGGGGAAGGAGGAAGCAATACCTTAGGGCTAACACTTTCTCTGTTTGTCTGACCAAATCAATAGACTTTCCTTTATGGAAAAGGCTATTTGTTTGGTCTTACAGTTTTGCATGCTACTGAATGATTTGAAATTAGAATTGTGTTCATAATTGTGTTCAGATCAACAAAAAGTGGTTTGGCCATGGTCAGGCCTGTTCCTATGTCCTTGATATAATAATGGTACCATAATCCTACAGAAATTATTGATAAAGAACATATTCATACTTGATTAAATGATATCAACATGCTTAGAATATTTAGTTATTATATCACAATGAGAAAATTATTCTATTTACTCAAACTTATTTTTGAAATTAAAGATTTTATGATGAAATACTCTAAACATTAAATAAAAAAGAAATTGAAACAAGCCAATATAAATTGCTTTTAATTTTCTTATTCCTAGTCTCTATTCCAGAAAACAGTTTTATCTTGTGTGTGTAAGTAAATGAAAACAAAGTACAGTAAATGAAATAACAAATGAAAAGTAAACAAATATTTTGTTTATAGTAAGGATATATCTATATATAATCTCACATTATAGTGAAAATACATAAAGTAATTTAAAAGAATCAAAATACTGAGTTAAATCACCATGCACTTGCATCTATAAAAGAATCATTATACATGCAGATAGATCATAATTCAACCACTATAATATTTTATTTCTTACAAGTTAGTCTTTTATTACAATAGTTTTCAATTTTATGATCATTTCTTTGCATTGAAAATTGTCAATCTGCCAACCCAGAGCCTTTAAAGAATTTAATGATCTAGACTCAATTTATAATTCAATTAAATTGTTAGTTACAGATATACTTATTTTTCCAATTAGTATATCTAAAATTTATAAAAAATATGTAAAGATATTTTTTATTTTGGGAACACATCTATTTTACTTTTTCATGAAATAAACTGACTTTTATCAAATTTTATTTTTTATGATGCTTTCTTGAAACTAATTAAATTGCACTGATATACATGCAGGGGACACCTGTATATATCTATATGAAATACAAAAACATTCATTTAATTATTTAAATAATAAATTTATTTTATATAAAATTGATAATTATGAATTTACACATACTATGATATGTTTCTATTCCAATATCATAATTTCATAGTTAAAATTTACAGAATTCTTGATTCTATTCTTTGATGATAAATGGTGAAATATTTAACAAACTTAAAAAGTTACCAGCAAAAAGTAAAATCATGCCATTAGTATATCCTAGACTAAGTGCAATTTGATCTAATTCTCTTATTATTATTACAATAAACATTAGTATCAGTTTCAAAAGTGATTTCATATTTCATACAAATTTGAGAATTAAGTATATTTATTTACATTTGAAAGAACCAATTTTTATTTTATTAGATTTATTACAAAATATGTTAATCAATGTTAGTTTGAAATTTTTGATTATTTCAATGATAAATATTTTCACTGAATACAAATTTTATCAGTAAATGAAGACTTCTGAAAATAACAAAAGAATATTAAATATAATGGAAGCCATAGAATTAGAAAAGTAAATGGATTAGATAATACAGTTTCTGGTACTAAATTTATATTATATATTATAGCAAACATTAATACAATTAGTATTGACACAATGTACTGTTCTGTGATTTCCGAGGTATTGTGAGACCCACCATTTCCCCAAAATTTTCATTATTATTGTAGACCTGTATATATATATATATATAATCTTTGAATTATTGTTAACATTATAATTTTAATTTTAATCATTAATTGTGTTTTAAGCTATATATATAGCTTAAAACACAATTAACTGATTATATAAAGGGGGGATATATATGTATTTTATATCC